AACTTGGGAAGGCAAAACCTCTCGTAATCTAGCATGGTTACGGCTTCAAATCGACAGAGAAGCAGCACGTATTCTTGAATAATAGATGGCTGTTCCTGTGATGTTTCAGTTCCCGACCTTTCAGCCTGAATTTGTTGAAATACATCCTGATCTTGACAAGCGTAAGAGCGCTGTTCCTCACCCAAGTCATCGTCTAGTTCGAGGTCGACCTCGCCAACTGAGAGCATTTCATCCCTTCTATCTTCATCCAAAGGGGTTGCCGCTGATATTTTTTTCGAACTTTTTTCCACACCTTCGACTTAGTCTTTGGGTTTTAACTTTGAAAAATTACATAGTCCGCTGCTATTAAAATATGTACACAGGATCGAAGCGCCTCCCGTCCGCCATATTGGTACTGTGGACTAAATCAAATGATGAAGATACCAAAAAAATTATAATTGAATTGATTGATTCAAAGCGGAGTAGAGTGTTATTAAAAACCATACGTTTCAACCTGCTACCTGCACGTCAGTTGCACAGGTTACCACTGGAAGACGCAGCAGCCTTAAAACGTATGATTTCTAATGCGCTTTATCAATCAAGTCAACTGTGGGTATATACTTTATGTAAGGCTACACTTATGTCACATCCTGCCGCCCGACACATGCGTAGTCCATGGTTATTCTGCGCGGTTCTGTCCACACATTTTGACCTAAATAATACCTCGTGAGAGGCTAGTGAGTCCAAAACAATGGCAATTCAAATTGAACGACATATTTGCATTCGGTGTTAACCCATAGTCATAAATCGGCCAAAAAATTTAGCAGTAGACGTAAAAACTTGACAAATTTAAACCGAGATTCACAGAAAAAAGGTTAGCCGTAAAAAAAATTTCTGATGACAACAGTGGAATGATATAAACCGTTTGCCGGGAAATGGCCAAAATTTACGAAATGGAAATTAACTATGAATGGACGTGCAAGAATCCGGGGTAGATAAACAATGAATACTTCCCGCAAGATCAACAATTTCTGCACCATTGACAACTGGAAAAATGAAAACAATTTATATGTTACAACTCGGGTAGTAAGTAATTTTAAGGATGACTTCGCCTTCACTCCAATAATTGCTTTTTTTTTGCGCTCTAAAGAAAGAGTGATCGCGTGTTAGTGTCAAAATAGGGCACTGAACATACATTTGGGTAACCTTTGAACTTCCGAAAAGGAAGCAAAAAACTGGCGAAAGTTTTCTGTGATAGGTCGAGTTGCCGTAGTGTTTTCATGCTTGAAAATGTAACCGCTTCTGAGTTAATCAGGGATGACCAGAAGCCTAGCAGACTGTTGAGTACCTTTTCCTTGCGTCTTCTTCATTGATCGACATATTTCTTATGTAAGCTTGATATTTTAGGAATCCAGGGGGTAAGTGACTCGCCTCCTATTAAGTGGCTTGAGAAAATCCTGTGCTATCAAAGTCAGTTAAATGTGACCAGTTCTCTCTGTCTTAGTGTATTTTTGAGAGTATTTTCTATTTTTGGAATTATACGTTGTCATTTTCTATTAGGTTTTTCTTTATCCAGCTAGGTATTTCAAAATATTCTAATATAGATATTGTCTTCTTTTCCTTTTACGCCATATTTTGTGATGGCATTCCCACACATTTTTCTTGCCTTCCTGTTTTGTAGGATTAATACACAATCCCATTTCCTTTGTTTAAAAATCCTGCACATGTAGGCACAAGTTTTCTCCCTCCTTTATAGCCTTATTCAGTTTTTCCTCCTACCCACCGTGAATTGGCTACCTCTTGATTCAATAATCTGTTCAGTGTGAAGCCGACCGTTTTGGATGACTTACACAAATACAAACGCCTTATTTTGCACATCTTAGAATGACAGAAAATGAAAACACGAGACAGTCAAGGACAGGCTAAGTTTGTTT